GTTTAATAGGATTAGAATTTATTGTTAAAACAATAGGTAAAAACTCTAATTGACGTATATACAACAAATGATATACTTTGCGATATCTTAATACTGATAGATGAAGTATTTTAAGAAGATTATTTAAATATACAACTTTATCAATAGAAATGATAATTAATGAAATAAGATTGGATAAAAAAGTTATATTAACAAGAATATTTTCAAAAACAAATCTTTCAATTTGATTAAATTTTAATATTATGTGTGACAATGAAAAAATAATATCAATCATAACTGGATTGACTGAACCTAATGGTTTAATTTGATCTTCAAAAATCAATTTTCGTCAGAACATTTGAATATATTAAAAGATTTTCAAATATTTCATAAATAACTTCATTTAAAAAATCTTTCAAAATCAATTAAACTTTCTTTTGATCAACTGAATAAATAATAATTTTAAATGAGAAAATAAAATTCTTCTTCATTATTTGATTCATCTCGATCGTTTGTATTTTCGAATTTTTTTTTTTTTTTTTTATAACGAAATGTAAGAAAAAAAACAACAGGATAAAAATGAATGTATTTATATATTGAGTTACAGAATGACGGTACAAAATAAATAATTACAATGATATTATATCGACTAATTTAAGAAAAATAAACATTTATATAATTTAATCAATGAGAAACTATTGAATGATATGTTTCTACTCGGATGAAAATTAAATGATTGAGAGTTCTTCAAGTTGTTTCAAAAAATTAATCGCTCAAAATCTAACTCATCATGTCTCTATAATAATAATAAAAGTTAGATATTCCGTCTCCACAAAAAAAAACCTATCAATTGTTCATTATATTTTATAAATAATCTTTTATTAATTTGAAACAACAGAAATGATTTTTAAATAAAATTTTCAATTTTAGACAAAAAAAAAATTTTGCAACGAAAACATTTTTTCGATAGGAAATATAATCTTAAATTTCCAAACCTATACAAAAATAACATACTTCTTAATTGAAAAAGAAGATTGCGCTACAATTGTACTTAATAACATAAGTTACAATTGTTTGGACTCTATTTGTTAGAAATAATAAGAGTTAATTAACGCTTATCCAGGGTAAAAACATAAAGAAGAAGGTTTCACATTTGGATAATTTTATTTGATAAAAATAATCTTTTCATTCGTGACGTATATCATTTCTTCTGATGTATTTCAGTTATTTATCGTGTGTTTCATATAATGTTCGCTTTTCTAAAGTATAGAGAAACACAAAATGTATATTATTTCTCTTTTCGTATACATTTTAATATTTCTTTAATGTTCGAATCTTTTGCTACATTCTATGAGCTAATGAATTCATTTCTGTTAGAATATATATTTTATCAAAATAGTTGTTACATAATGTCAATAAATTTCAATAAAAATTAAGTGTATTTTTAAAACGAACTTTTTTATAATAGACAATACTTATTGATACTGTGATTAGATTCGTTGGTTCCACTTTTATTTTACAGAGAGTCTTTAGTTTTATATGCAGTAAAAATTTAATAGATAAACCAATACACATTAGAAATGATTCTTCACTAAAGTAATTGAATTTTGTCTAATACCAGAAAAATCTGGTTAAATGATTTCACATAGTCTCATCATTTATAACCAAGAAACATTGCAACAAAAGACAAAACCTAGTGAAGGTATAGGCACCAACTCCTTTGTTTTACATTAAGGATTAATCTTTAACTTGATTCACTAAAGTATATGAAAATGGAGACGGATAGGTTCTCTTCACATAGTAACTTATGACAACACTACAAGAAGTTTAGATTAATGTTCATTTGAATATTGGCGAGTGTATGTGTATATTAATCATGTAATCTTTCTGTTGAGATTCTATTGAGTTTGTATATTATGCCATTCGAAACATTATTGTTGCAATATTCAATCAAACAAACTATTATATGGAAAAATACTAACACTATGACTGTTAGTATTATTTACATCATAATATAGAGTCAAATCATGAAAGATTTATTGATGCAAGAGGGAGTGTAAAGTTCAACTTTTTTTATTTACATCATCATGCGCAAGAGTCTTGAACTGCTGTAAAAGATGATTGACCTGTCGAAGTTGAGCAAGTGTTGCTTGGGCTTGTCTTATTCGTTCATTGAGTAATTCATGTGTTTGTCTCATCTCGACCTCTTTCTCAGCAATGCTTGCTTGCAGTTCAGTTTCATCATCAACATCATCATTGTTGTTTTCATCGTTGAATGGTGGAGGTGATGGTGAAGGAGAACGATCTGGTTCCTAAAAGAAAAAGATAATATATATAAAATTAATAAAATCATTAGAGAAATGTTGAGTTAAAAGTTATATGTTAGGTGCAAAGCTTTCATACCCGATCAAAGCGCATGATGATGTGATACAATAACTTATGATACGAATGCTACAACACCAGAGTATTTATTCTTCAAGGACAAAAATTATTATTCCTTTTTTTTCTCGAATATATGACGTACATATGCATTAGTTGTTCTGAGAGGGTTAAGGACAAAAGTCGCGAGAGCAGGAAATGTACAGAAAGAAAGAGAATCGACGAGTGATATTTTCTTGGTGCAGGTTGTTTTTCGATTATGTATAAACATATGAGAGAATCATCAGTCAATGATGAATCATCGAAGCTTAGAATAATGCACTCAAAGAGAACAGAGTGCATTGTTAGATGCAATCCTACGTACTAGAAACTTGGCAAAGATCTTCTAGAGGAGAATTTATCGTTTACAAATTTGAGTTCAATACTTTTAAGTGATATATATATAGTGATATGCTTTATTGATTTAACAAAAGATAAACAATGAAGAGCAAATTTCCGTATCGAGCGGTCTAGTTCACAAAGAAAGAAACGTCAAAGACTTTGTCGAATAATCTATAATGAATGAAGGTTAATTTTTGAACTTTTAGCTCAACTAGAAAGAAAGATCTATTCGACATGAAACTTTCAGCAATATAGTAGATTTTCAATTTGAAAATACTTACGAAGTAGCCCCCACGATGTTTAATATAAAGTTTTATCCATTCAATTCACTTTGGGTGTGGGATATTGCTGAAGCTGTTTATGTGGGTGTTTGTGTTCTCTCACATTCACATCGTATCAATGAAAGAGAATTGTAATGTATTCCTGAATTGATGAACCTCGTCGACAACATGAAACAGATATCGCCTTAAGTATTCTTCACGGTAATTTTATTCAAATCTAGTCGTGCATATATTATTTGTTGCTTTCGAAGTAGTAAAAAGCTGTGTGATCAATTTGAGTATCTACATACAGTACAGCATCAAATCATTGATTGATTGATTGATGAGTATAATTATCCTTCATTCAAATATTTGAATTGAAAGATAATTCTTTCATACGATTCCGCTTCCATCGATTAGCCTCAGTCTACATCTAGTCCGTTTTTTTTCTTCTTTCTTTTATCTAGTAAACAAGAGAAATCCCCTGTCTCTATAATAGATATTCATATGTTGAAAGATATTGTTTTATTTTAAATAGAATCGTAGTATCATTAATGATGAGAAGTTTATGTGTTAACCATGCATGTTTTCTTATTTCTCAAGAACAGACTATTTTTTGATAATAGTAAAAGTTACGTTTAGAAATATTTATTTCTATTTTATTTAAAAGAAAAAACTAAGTCTCAATCAATAATTGATGATAATATGTCAACATACTTTCAATGATTACACATAAAGTTTTACTCAACAAGATGGTTATACATATGAAATTTGATTCAAATATTATTACTGATTCAATACAAAGCGATATTGATAGATGAAAATGAATCGAGTTCTATTTGACTTTATTTCAACAATCTTAACAGAACTAATTACAAACATTAGTACAAATTAGAGAAAAAAAAAGAGTAAAGTGTTCGTTTAAGTTAATTCTATGTTTTATCCCAAAACATAAACAAGTGACTGTCTTGTGATGATGAATACTCTTAATAGTTAAAGACTAAAATTGAAAGATAACATTGAAATAATCTTTATGAGTCAATCAGGTTGTTCGATCAAACGTGCACTTATGCATATGGTTTCTTATGAAACATGAAAAGCATGCACTTCTGTATTATGTCTCATTTTGCTTAGTTTTTAATTCGAGTCCGTTTTATTTTATGTTTTGTCATCATATTTTAGATAATTAAACAACTAGAAACATATTGATAACACTGGTAGGATAGAGGGTAGACTGTAAATCGCCATTGATCATTCTTCATTCTTGGATTATCCCAAACTGTTCAAGATTTTGACCTGTGTCGCTCCCGATATCGTCTGGAAGAGGAAAAGAAACGAATAGGGCAATACTATCGTAGTCGAATGTCTCTACTTATTTTGTCACGTCAATGGAAAATCAAGAACTTTGAAAATATGTATCACCAAAAGGATGTTCAATTCTTTATCCTCAGAAATAAGTCAAAGAAAATTACAATTTCCTAAAGAGATTTTTCAAACGCAAAAATGTTTTATTGATTGAAAGCAGTAATTGAATACATTGACATCTAATGATTAATAAATAATTGCATCAGTAGTCGATCTATAAGTCTTCGTCACGTTTTTGATTTGACTTAATTAGTTTGAGAGTACGTAATCAAATAGATGAATCTCTTTGAACACGATCGAATATAACCATGATCAATATGTAATAAATGATTGACAAATAATCGCTCTCGAACACGATCATTGTGCAAAGTTAGAAAGAGAATTCATTTTGATTTAAACCATCGAACAATATTCGACATGATACGAAATGTTGTTTCACTTGGTAAACCTCGATCAGGTTCATCAAGAACAAGTATTTGACTTTGACGCTGTTTAGTTCGATTCAGTGCTCTTGCAAGCATTAAACGTGTTTTTTTGACCGCCACTTAATCGATTTTCAAGAGGATGATAAAGTTCACCACCAAGATTATCTCGTACAAATGAATCGATTTCAACTAATCGTAAAAAATACCAGATTCATTCTTCGTCTTCGCGTGAAATAACTGATTGACAATCGTATTCCGAGTCAGTGATCATTATATAAATTGAAGAACGAAAATCCATTTGTGTATCTTGAAGTACAACTGTTCGGAGCGATTCAATATTATGAAATCCATTAGGTAACTCAATTGTTTCATCAATCATTATTCGAGCTTTATATCTTTTAGTCGAAATATAACCACTTAATATATCATAGAATGTTGATTTTCCTATTTAATAATAAAAATAGTTTTCGAGAAAAATCCATTCCGAAAATCATTCAGTCGTTTTCTTTTTAGTAGCTCGATAGACATAATTTCGTTTTCAAAAACTCTTTATAGAAGATTCTACTTTCTTCAACATTCGCTCATTTATGTCGATCTCAATTTTAATCAACTGCTCTCAAAGAAATATTCCATATTTAAAACAGTTAGTCAGAATATTGAAAATTTCTAGCAAAAACCGAGTTGTATTCAAAGAGTGGTATTTCACAAGGAGCAAACTCATTTGATCATCAGGATATCCGAATGGGATCAGATACAGTTGTGCGCCAAATTTATCGATCTAGAGCGGCCATTTCAATATCTCGAGCAGCCACTGACGCATGAGCCTATCAGCAGATAGCATTTTGAGTTAAGAATAGATATGAGCTGAACTAGAACTACAAACAGCTGCTTGTATATATGTATAGGTTAACATATTCTGTGGTCTTCATTCTTCCCAAAAGCAAGGACAGATTTTGAGAGGGTTTTTTCCGAAGTTCAGGAGATATGCTTAAGTACATCCGGTATGTTTTGATAAGATTGAGGTATGAAAGAGAAATTGACGGATAAAACTACATTTTTGAACCATCTTCAACTGCAAACTAATAGTAAGAGTGAAACTCAAATATTTTAGGTGTGGGTGTGGGTGTGGGTGTGAATGGGTGTGAGTATAGGGGTAGCCGTTGTCTACACCCACACGCGCACCGACACCCACACCCACACCCACAACATGGAAAAAGTAAGCAACGTATATTTAACTCTTCCTTAAATTGTTGTCTTTTTTCTGTAACATTGTCATATGTTATTGGTTTACTTGCTGGTAAAAATACTAGTTTATATGAGCGAATGTTTGATGAATTAATATTTCATACAAATCGTCTTTACTTATTGTTTGAACCTCAACAGGCTTCGTCTGACTTTGAAAAGTCATTTATCAAAGCTGTATCAAACGAATACAAACCATAGTGAATGTTATTTCCATTTTTGTCAATGTATCTATCGTAAGATACAGAGTTCAGGTCTTGCTGATTTATATAGAGAAGATGATGATGTACATTCCATTTGTCGACAACTTATGGCATTACCATTATTAGCTGTACACGAAATTGAATATGCTTTTGAAGAATTAGTTGAACAATCATCCAATGTTATTAGTCCTCTAATTGAATATTTTAAAAATTATTGGATGATCCAAATGCCCATTAACAAGCGAAGTGTGTTACATTTGGATACAAAAACCAATAACTCAGTAGAAGGTTTTCTCATTTTAGAATTATTATTTTGCTTTAAAGTTCTCTTGATAGACTGGTACAACCGTTTCAATAAAAGAATAAATCAACATCACCCAAACATTTGGCATTTTATTTCTATTAATACAACTGTTATTCAACAACGACTTGATAATTTATTCATTAGATTTCAAAATATGGAAATCGATTTGAGAGAATACCTTCAAAGTTTATCTTTACTCGTGACAAAGGATATAAAGGCCAATAAATGATTCTCAAGTCAATAGCAATTATTTTTCTAAAAGCTCTGTCTTCTAGTTCTCCTTTGAATCACATTTTGTATCGCATATATTGATTTTTTTTTACATATGTACACTCTTCATTCCTAAATTTTGTCCTTTCTCAACAAAAAATGTGTTAAAATGTGATCACTGTTACTTCCAGTAATAGTGGCTCCTTGTCCAAGCGATAGACGATAGACACCTGCGATTTGTGTGACTTTATAGAGCATGGCCTAGGCAACCGAACTCACTCCTGAACAAATAAGTAATGGAAATTACGAGAATGATGAAGTTCGAGAAAAATCCAACCAAGTAACCTTACATTTATATGATGTCAACCTCTTGGTTTTTACATGGCATTGGTGTCGAAATCTTGCTCTTTCGAATGGTAAAAATCGCAGTTCTCTTTCTTATTCCTATCAAAAATGATTTGAAAAATGGCAACCTGTCTTTTATTTTGAAACGTATATTACATCGAGTTAAACACATTTTAGAGAAGCTTTTTTCTTGCGAAAAACTACCCCCTTGACGGACTACGAGGCAAAGTTTCAATAAAATACAGCGCTGTGGGACCACAGCTGAATTTTTCATTGGAAAAAAATTTCTCTAAAATATGTTTGATTCAATGTAATTTCTGACATTGATTCCGAATGCTGCATTCATTTTGTTTTAAAATTGTGTCATAGCAATGAAAATCGATAAAAATCTTTTTTTTTTATTGAAAAATCATCGAAAACAATTATATGAGTGAGATGTGCACTTTGTTTCACCCCGGAGATACAATTTATGTTTGAACATTTTTTTGCCATTTTGTAGAAAATAAAAAGTTGCATAACATGTACAAAGTTCAGCTAGGAACTTTCTGATTCTGAATCTGATAGCAGATAAATAATTATCTAATGAACATTTGTAACTCATCGAAAGAGTTCTTTTTTATCCATGTTAGCTTTATAAAAGTTGAGTCGGTGGACATTGTATTACACTGACATAGCTCGTTTTGTTTAGTTTTTAAATCTCTCTCATTTAATGGTATCAATAAAAAAGAATCTTATGTAAGTTTGTGTATCAAACGTGATTTCAATTCTTATTTCAATAGTGAACTAATCAAAGAAGAGAAGAACA